GATAAACACCCAAGTCTTTTTTTTTTCCACAGGTAGCCTCTTCTAGCTCAGTGTTTCCCAATTTGGTATCTCTGTGCTTGGGATCTTCTGATAGTGGCAGATTGGCCTTTATCCTGTGTAGTGGACTGAACAGAGCTGATGAAAACGTGTCATATTGCGCGTACTGTCGACACACTTTTCAGCCTCTAGTTAATGACAAACAGCTCGCCTCACTCTCCAGGAAAGCAATAACAACAAAATTTAACTTTCGTTTCGGTAACACTGGAAAGTGGGCTCGTTTCACGGATTGCCGTGTGCTTGGAAGACCACGTGTGTAATAACGCGTTTTGTTTAGAAGCGACGCGGCGACATTTCTGCTCGCTTGTACAACTGACTCCCACTTGTGCAATAAGGCATCACAGACGCCCTACAGTACACTGCAACCACACGCCCCGGGACCTGCTGTATCCCGTTTCAAGCTGGGACTGTCGTTGCTGTCGGTAGTTTTTGTGTTCACCGGGGACCAACTGTATGATTTGGCGGGGAGCGAAAGCACTGGTTTCTCTGCTCTTTCTCCTTGCGCTTAGGAAATATTTTTAATTCGTACAGTACGCGGCAGTGCAAATGCAGCTCTCTGCTGCCTTTTTTTTTAAAAAAAAATAAGGAGACCTCTTTCTTCAACGGCCATATGCCCGCACCCGCTGTCTCGATGAATGCAACCATCTGCTCCGGTTTCAAAGGAGACTGCCTGGGAGAAAGCGGCCCGTCTTTTGTAAAGGCTCTCGGAGCGATGCGAGAGAATCTCTTTTGACTCACAATGATGAACTGTTGGCGAATTTTAACTCTTTTAAATCCGCGACGTAAATTCAAAACAGCCTTTTTCCCCCCGTAAAAGATTAATTTAGGAGTTTAACGAAGAGCGTGTGCGTTCAGGTGGTTAATTTATGTTTATACCTCCGCCTAGGGGAGGGGGGGTTAATGACTCGGGTAATTAAACGACTTGGAGGCGATCAAAAAGTGAGGGTATTATTTTTTTGGCGCGCTTGAACTCGCCAAGTAAGGGGGTCACATTCCTCCGAACAGCTGCTTAAGTTACATCATGTTAAATAGTGTTAATTACAGCGACAGAAACAGCCTTTGAGTCGGACTCGCATTTAATGGTATCAGGTGTGGGTTTTTTTTTTTATAAATGGTGAAAACCGAAAACCCCACGTAGGTCTGTTGTCCCCGATCCATTCTCAGGGTAACTTCTCGGAGGCACGCTGTTAGCCTGCGAACAGACGTGCTTGTAACTCCTTCCGAAATGATATTGTGTTTTACAAAATTCCGGCATGGATAAAATGCAAAGCTGCCAATTCCCAACTTCACTCATTCTTTTAGGGTGTTACACCGATACTTATTTTCAGCACGCGGTGTGCATGTTAGGGGAAGCTGTTTGTAATGTAATGGTCCGTTTGTTTGCAGTTTTTTTTTCCCCTCAGCTAAGCTTCCTTTGGCATTACGCAGTTTATATAGAGCAAAACCGAATATAAATCCATCCCGTCGGTACATCCATTAGAACAGCAAAGGTTTCCTATTTCAATACCCCAACCCCCTTCCACAGCAGTCTGGAGGAGGGGGTAGCATCTGAAACCCGATTTCACATGGAAGCACCAAATCATCTTGGGCCTCATGTTTCAGTGGTTCTACATGAGCACTGTAATGTGAATGAACCAGCACTGCACCAAAAGGAACTTAAGGGCTCCGAATGGCTCAGGAAATCTGCCTCTGAACTACCATTCTCACCAGTAAAGAAAAAGCACACAAAACTTGACCGAACGCTGAGATGATGCAGAAGGGGAGGGTTTTGTTGAAGCGCAAGCGAAGACGCTGGAGTGCAAACTGTTGCTGGTCCGCTCATCAGCGTGCCGCACTGTTCTAGATGGAGGCCTCAGATACTGCATGGTTCAGCTCATGCACAGCTCCCCCTGCCATTCATATTCACAGTTGTTCCAAGAGCCTCGAACACCTTCAGGAGCAGAGCAAAGACCCCTCCCTGTAAAAGGAGGGAGCACAAGCTTTATCCACACCCTGCAGTGGCCCCAGCCTCAGGCAGAATGGACCTCCGCATTCAGGTCATAGACAGTACTCACGCATGTTTACCACTCCGAGTGTTCAAACCTCTGTATTTAGATATATGGCTCACCTCTGTGCGTCTTCACAGCTTCTGGGAAAATGACGAACACTGCATTTATCAATGCCAATTAAGGGATGTTTTGACAGAGATTGCCAAGGTCTTCTCAGTTAACATGAGACAGTTAAAACTGTTTGAAAATAATTGCTCAGGTATCAAAACTACTAATGAATCATAGTTTTTAAATTAGTAGCTTGAACAAGATGCGTCTTGCACGACAAAAAAAAAAAAAAGATTTAGCCACATACAATTTCTGTGTGCACGTTTAGGCTTATAAAAGAGTTTATTTGCAGTACAAAAACAAATGCAAAAAACCAAATATATTAACTTAGTACAAACTTGACCAAACATCTATAAATACATATTATAATAAATAAAAAACTAATTAAGTTACTACAACTCTTTAACGCTACACTAAAGTAACTATACAAATAGCAACGTTCATACATCACATTGTATAGAAATCAACAACATGGGTGTTTGTAATTTAAAATTACTGAAGCTCACATCAAGTCTTGTGGGATGTAGCTTTGCAGTTAGGACATTCAGGCAAATATTAGAAAGCCTACAGTTAACTAGCAGGTAAAACTTTTAAACAAAAATTAGCACCACAAAAATCACATCAGGCACTTTATCTTCTCTTAGAAGTTACAAAAAAATTGACAGCGGTGTGCCATACCTAATGACAGCTCAGCACACAGCATTTATTTTCCTTTTCATCTCTTGCCATTTTTCTATTTACATGCAACACAATACTCTTTTAAAATGCTTGACTTATCATAATAAAAACATGGCACACTCACTAGTCAACCAAACCAACAGCCACCCCCCTCCAAATTAAAACTGATTCAAGAGCCTGCAGACTGACAGACTTCTAGGGTTTGGTTTCACAGAGAGCAATCTTATCTCTGCTGCGTCACTGCAGCGAGAAAGAAGCTCAACATAAACTAACCTCTCTTACGGTGCAGCAGGCTCTTATACATTCAATTCAGCCCGTCTCACAATATGGTTGTGGACTAGCAGGGTCAGCTGGGCATTTTGGAACAGTTTCAAACACCTCAGACCACAACTTTCAAGGCAACAGGACTTTGGCGAACACACTTAAAAAAAAAAGTTTAAGGAACAGAAAAATTCATAAAAATAACTTGTTTTTCCCCCTGAAACGTATAACTTACAAATTTATAGGGAAAAATGTTACAAACAAAGGAAAGTCAATTCCTAATAAAGCTGCAGAAAAGGCAGCAGAAAGAGGAGGACTTTTTTTTTCTCTTTGGTTCTCCCACCCAACGCCCTCACAGAGGATTCAAACCATTTTCCACTCCCCTCACTCCAGCTACACGATCTGCTTCAGCTTAACAAGGCACCGAGTTGCATCCAGGAAATGATCACCCGTTACAGTGGCTTTCGCAAGGCAGCAGGGGTGATCGAGAAGGATCCCCGTGGAAGAACGCGCTCCCTAGCGCTGCCCGTGCTAATCGCAGAAGGTCAGTTTCTCCGAGTCTGAATGAGCCCCATGAAACAATCCCTTTGCACAACATTAACTCGAAGTCAAGCATTAAGCTGAAGCAGTGTTAACCGAGATGTGAAGCACCTCACAGTACAGAACGGTCGGTATACAACAGTATACAACCCAACGTTTAATATGTGGGGAAAAAAAACATTGCTTTTGCTAGCAAACTGGACCGCGCTTGGCGATCGAAGGAGGAAAGGCAGGAGCTAGATGACAAAGCCTGGGCTCGAGAGCCGCTCGTCCGGGACCGACAGCTGGCTGAATATGGGCAGCCTGCGGCCGAAGCACTCGAAGACCGAGGTGTCCGAGCCACTGAGGCTGCTGGCCGAGCTGCCCGAGCCCCCCTCGTGGTCGGACAGGGAGGTGGCCGACATGCTCCTCGAGCC